GGGAAGGAGCCAGTGGGGCACCTAGGATGGCATGAGCCTACAGGACCCTGGTCAGGTCCTGGCATGTGTGTGGTCCCCAGGGCGGGTCGTGGGGAAGTGCCACTGTTGGGTCCCACTCTTTAACACCTGCAGTTCATAAACGAGCAGGACTGGCACACACGGGAAACCCAGGAGTGCCAGCAGCTTGGGTGCCAGTCAGCAGGGTGGCTGTGTGACAGCATGAAGGCCTCGAGCTGGGGGCCGAGGTGTCCACAAGGGGAGGGCCACAGCTGTTTCCAAGGCCATCTCTAACTCGTTGGGGTCCCACCCTTGCCACATTTCTCTAAAATTCTCGGACGATGATGTGTGTTTATGGGGTGTGCGTGCTGCTTAGGTCGTACGTACACCTTGTACACTTGTGAGACGATTCACTTGGATGCACGCAGGCCCTGCCTGGCCGTGCCACCGCTGTGATGTCAGGACCTGCTGTTCCTGGCTGGGATGGTCGTGGGGACTCGGGTGGCAGCTCTGTGTATAAGGGAAAGGGCTAACCTCTACTTGCTTCCCCTTTACTTAATGGCAAGGAGGCAGGTTTCTTCCCCCAAACCATTCAGCCTTCCAATTGGACAAATAAAAAGGATTCTGAAAAGTTGTTGCTCCTATTTCCTGTTGCAGTTTGCAATGTGGCCACTAGATGGCAGGGAGGGACTGCACATTGGGGGCGGCCGCCTCCTCCCTGCACCAGGTTTTTTGCCATTAAGAAGCCGACGGAAGCTCCCCAAAAGTACAAACAATGAACCGCCGTGCTGGGACGCAACGCTGGGACTCCGCCGCCCATTACTGGTCCCCGCGCTCCTGCCTCCCCTCCTCTCCTCCTCTCTCTACTGGGGTCCAGGGAAACCCTGGCACAGCGCCAAGTCCAGAAGTTGAATATGAAAATTCTCTTCACCTCGTGCTGCCAAACGGGTTCTCATTAATTTCACCTCAATGTCGTGACGTAAACGCTGGTGGAATCGGCCCCGAGCTACACAAGCCATGAGCCCCATTCTTCAACACACAAACACATAAAGATGTCAGCTCAAACTGTTTACTAATTAACACTTAAAAAGACACAAATTAGATATGCGTGGCTAAGAGCAATTATAATCAAGACGAATTTCTCTAGTCATTTGGGAACTGAAAAAAAAAATGCCTAATTGCTGGAACCAATGTTTTAAAAACTGAAATGGAGCCAGTCAGCAAATATGTTCATTTAAAGAACATTCCACGTGACTGCCCTCCTGAGGACGGACTACAAACATGAGAACAAGGAAAATATTTAGGTATAAAATTAAAATTTTAAGTCCCTTAGATTTATAACTTCTTCATTAAATGTCTGCAAACAGCAGCTCATAAAAACCTGTAGCAATTAAGTGGTTAAATGAACTGCCTCCCTTGTCAATTTTAAGGGCGTGATTAATATTAGAGCATCCCTGTACTAATTAGACTCCCTCGTCTTCCAGCCTTCCGTTGCCAGAAGATGGAGGCCGTTTGCGCCACCAGGAAACCAGCAAGGCTCCCAGTCCTTCCCAGCCTTGGCCGTGGTTCCCACTGTGGCACCCCCGTGGGGAAGGGGAAGGGTCCGGGCTGTGTGCCGGGCAGCGCTGGCGAGCACTGGCAGCCCCCCAGCTCCTGCTGCAGAAGGCCTGTGGGCCCGGTCCGGGGCTGGCGAGGCTGGCACGGGGGAGGGGCACTTGGGCATGCTTCAGGGCTGGGGCCACCCTGTCTGTGTGGGGGAACAGGGCTGCCCACCGCACAGCCAGACACGCCTCCCCGCCTCTCCCTCCTCCACCCTCGCTCCCTCAGCACCTGCTGGGTCCTGTGAGGTGGGTCCTGCCTCTAGCTGCTCAGGGGTGCTTCTGGCATGAGGGGAGACAGAAGAAAACCCCTGACCTCATGCCGCAGACTAACCGGGGAGCGGGGCATCCTGGGCCCAAGCAGCAGTGCCGATGCTCTGTTGAGGCTCTACCTTCCGTCCCGCCCCAGCCCCAGGCCAGCACGGGGTCTGACCGGCAGGGCTTCCTTCCTTCCTTTCCCATCAACTTCACTCTCTGTGTGAATTTGCTCCACAGGTGCATGGACTTGAACGTGAAAACATGACCTGAGTCGGAAGTCCTTCGTGAAGCTTCCCCCAGGTACTACAGCTGCCACAGCTCCTGGGTTCCCCATGGATGTGGTATCTGCCTGGCACTGGCTGGTGGGCTGCAAGGTGCCCGCAGCAATGCCCTCTGGGAGAGGCCATCATGCCTGCACTCCAGTTGCACGGCGAGCCTGCTCTGGGGCCAACCTCAGCTGCAGATTCGCCCCCAACTCCAACCCCGGGTGTCTGGAGGAAACCCAGTCCGTCACCCCACATGGCCCTGCTGCCTTGGGCCAACACAGTTGCTCACTACAGCTAGGGGCTGTCCCCATTTCAGGCTCTCAAGTGTCCCTGGCTGCCACGGAGTCCCACTTCTGAAGCCCAGCAGCATCTGGCTTCAGGAGTCAGACCCATGGTGGGTCTGCTTTGGTAGGGGCATCCAGGATAACTCCATGTCACTGCCTGTTGGCATTCCCCTGTGGGGCACATGACTATGGGGCAAGTCTGGGGTTCCTTCATGAGGGCCAGATCCAAGGACCCTGTGCTGATGACCTCTGGCTGCAATTCACAAATACCCCCCAGCTGGGAGTCAATGAGGCCTGGTTGGCAGGATGGCCAGCTGGGCAGACAGGTGGACAAGCAGCCCTCATCTGCTCTTTTTTTTTTTTTTTTGCAGTAGGGCCCCTCGAGTGGGTGGGTCCTGCCTCGGGGCCGCCCTCAGCTCTCTGTCCAGCTCTAGAACTCCTGGTGGCAGCCCTGTCACTGCCGTGGAACTCAAATCCAGGTCTGAATAGTGAGATGGGGCCGAGGGAGCTGGCAGCTGCCCACGGCTGCTCCACCCCCAGGAATCCTGCGTGGAGCTGGGGAGGGGCTGGGTTGTGCAGGGAGACACAGCGGTCCTAAAGGCTAAAGGCTGCCTGCTGCCTCTGCTCCCCAACCCTCGCTCCTGTTGCGTGGTGCCGGCGAGCCAAGAGTTTCCAAGTGGAGACCTCTCGCAGGGGATGGAAAGGACAAAAGGGAAGTTGTCCCCATCAGGCGACACCCAGCCTGCATCGGGCCCGACACACAGGCCTGGGCTGTGCACACAGCTCCTTCCTGGGTCTCCCACCCCCACGAGCAGGGCCAAGCTTGGGGCTGAAGGAGCACCTTCAGGTTGAGAATGGGGCAGTGGCCCTCCACTGTTGCCATAGGCATGGTCTTCCCAGCCCATTTGAGAGCTCCCCCCCCCCCACACACACTTTGGATAGTGGAAAAGTGACCCAGTCTCTAGCAATGGGGCAGCACATGGCACTGGACAGGAACCATGTGCTTGACGGATGGTCACGGTGCTGGCGTGATCATGGGGACAGCGACACAAGCAGAGGCTGGGAGGGGGCAGTGCAGATAGCACTGAGGGGCCTACCTGGCTAAGGGCTTCATCCCCATCACCTCTTCTAGCAGAGACTGTGGTATGGACAGGTCAGGGGAAGAGATTCGAGCCCAGGTGCCCACTCCAGCCTTGGTTCTGGCCTGTGTCCCCTGTGGAAACTCCAGCCCTGGTCTTGGATAACAGGTCTCCAAGGGACTTGCAGCCTAGTGTCTGGGGGCAGTGTTACGGGATGGGGAGAAGGCAGGCTCCTAGCATTCCTACCACATGCTTGGGATGCCATGACATGGCCAGGAGCAGCCCAGGTCAAAAGGCCCCAGAGGAACTCAGAACAGCAATGAGTCAAGAGAGGAAATGGAGCACATTGGCTGGGACTCCATCTTGCCTTAGCCCCATTATGCCACCTCTGCCTGAGAGAGACGAATGAAGCCTGTGAGACCATCCCATGCAGGGGGAGCCCCAAGTCCAGGCTGAGCATGTAGTCCAAGTGACAGTCCCGCTGGCAGGCAGCATGTTTGTGCAGGACACCCCACATGCCTACTCGCCCCTAGAGATAGGCACCGACAGATGTCCAAGACGCCTGCTGAGATGGCCTTCACTTGCCACAGCCATGGTGCCCTGACCCCTGCCCATGACTGGTTCTTCCTGCAGCTGCAGCCGCCACCCTCAAAGGCTCCTTCTAGACTGCACTGCCACAGCCAGGACAATGAGAAACCAGGGCCATTCCCTGCCTTCTTACTCCAAGCTATGAAAATGAAACCAACAAAGCAACAGACCCACGAGACAAAGCTAGCCAAAGACAAGCCAGAAATGGGAGCTGAGCACGGGCCGCCTTAAGTGATGCAGGGGCTCTGTCTTGTGGCTGAGCTGGGCCCAGAATTGACTGCACTATGTCGATGCAGCCATCCTGCGGTAATGCACCCTGCTTATGCCAGCTCTGCACACCAGAGGCCCCTCTGAACTGAGAATCCTGGAAGGGCTCCGCTTTGCTCCCGCTAGCAGGGAGTGGGCTGCGCAGTCATCACTCAGCAGCCCCCATGCACGGGGGTCCTGAGCTTCACATTGCCTTGTGCAGACGGGTCTGCAGCCAGTACCGCCCTGTCACCTGTCCCGCTGTTGCCACAGGGAAGCCCCTACACTCTCACACTGAGCTGCCAAACAGGTGCAGCTGATCAGGTGTGGGGGACACATGCTGCCTCTTGTGTCACCAGGGAGTGTGGTCACCACCCCCAAGCCCCTCCTGGTGACCAACAGGACAAGTGAGGAAGGAAGTCACACAGATGCCCATTGATGCTGATCGGAGACTTTTTAAAGCCCTGAGGCAGAACTGATCACTCCTTTGCCAATTGGAGCCTTCAGGCCTAGAGCAGCCACATGCCAGGCGGATTTGACTCCAAGTTGTCAGGACATGCGGGTGAGTTACATCCTGATCAGTAAGACATGAGAGGCAGGTGGACATGCTCTTTGCAGCAGGACACCCCCTCCCCCTAGGTTGTTCTGGGGTCCAGCCCCCTGCGACCTTGGCAGCCCACTTACCTCTTTCTCAATTTCTGCCAAAGACTTGATGGTGATTCCCAGGAGGTCAAAGGGCTGCATCTAGAGAAACAGACCAGGGAGCCTTGGAAAGGGTGGCAGGGTGATAGGGTGACTCCAGCCCACCCTGCAGCCTCTCCCCAGGGTGCCAGTGGGGCACAGAGGGGGAGGCAGGAGGTGGGGTCATTGCTCCTTCATGTGGCCACGGCACCCAGGAGGACGGAGGAGGAGGTGGACAGTGTGGGCAGGGTCTACTCTTGCCTCCTGCAGCCACAAGGCCAGAGGCAGCTCTGGCTTCGCACAGCAGGCCCTGGAGTTGGGCTGCGACGTACAGTGTGGCCTTGTCCACAGTCCTGCGGAGCCCCAGGCAAACTTGAGTGCTGGGTATTGAGGGGCCCAGGGAGTGGCTGGTAGCCTGGGCTGAGCAGGTGCATATGAAGGGCCTTCCTGGACCTGGGCTGCAGCAGCCCCAAGGTGGGCATGGAGCAAGTGCCCGCCCTGGGCAGCAGGGCCTTCAGGCACAGCCAGTAGCAAGAGGTTGGTTGGGGACTCCAGGAACCTAATTCAACATGGGGTGTGGCCACAGGTTAAGTGACCTCATCATTTCCTCGCCTACTAAAATGTGGCATGGGCAGGCACTCCCTGCTGGGGTGGCAGGGACTGAATGGGAGAAGGGCTTGCCACGGGGCTTGGTTCGAGTCTGCAGCTGTGAGCACTTGCTGGGTGGGAAGGGCCTGGCTGCCCACACTTGCAGTGCCACCCAATTGGACATGCAGTTCCTGGGACTGCTCTGCTGCAAAACAGCTTGGTGCTCTCTGCTGCCCGCTGGGCAGTGTGTGGACAGGGCCACCTGCCTGTACTGCTCAGCTTCAGCAGGGGTCCAGCTGCTGTACTGGGCATCTCCAACGACTCCACTAAACTTCCCTGACTGGAGCTGGAGGCAGGACATAGCCACTTCTACCAGGGAGCCTGTGGGAGAGGTGCCAGTGTTTCCATGGCAACGTGGCCTGGCAGAGTCGCTGAAGCTGCTCAAGCCCTGTGTGTCACGTCACGAGCATTTTTCAAGATTAAGCTGCTTAGTGGATGGCTGCAGAGACAGCCTGTTGTATCTGACGGAGATGGGGGCAACAGAGCAGCTCCGATCACAAGCCTGGTGGTTTCTGGCTGGCTCCAAGGAATACTCTGGCATTCCTGACTTATGCCCGTGCCGGGGCCTTCGTGTTTATCTGCTGCTCCGAACACTCTGCAGACAGGCTTACAGTCAGCAACAAGGTTCCTGAGCTGGTGTGGACCAGGACTATATGGTCGGGGAGGGCTGCTGCTGTCCAGGGTTTGGGCATCACTCAGAGGGCAGCCCAGGGGGCAGCAGGGCCTGCCTGCAGCCCCAGTCGGAGACCCTAGTGCCAGACGCAGTGGGGAGCACTGCTCACAGTCTGGCTCTTGGCCTCTCAGAGCCTCACAGAGGTGGCCAGGCCTTGGCATTGGCTCACGTGAGTTGCGGGGTCAGTGCTGGCCTGGTGTAGATGGGGGACCTGCACCCAGAGGCCCCCTGCACTCCCACGGAGGCCCACTGAGCCACAGTGGAGTGTGCAGTGAGCATAGACACAACCTCCCTTCAGCAGGAAACTGCTGCCATCATGCCCAGCGGAGCAGCAATTACGAAGCTGAGCTTGGAAAGCAGAGACTATGCATGGCTGATGAGGTGCAGCTCAGCTCAGCTCAGTTTACAGCTCAGCTGCAGCGAAAGGGCTCACAGCACTGCGCCTGCGCCCTCCCTTGCCCTCCCCTCCCCTGCCCTCCCCTGCTCTCCCCTGCCCTCCCCTGCCCTCCCCTCCCCTCCTCTCCCCTCCCCTGCCCTCCCCTGCCCTCCCCTGCCCTCCTCTCCCTTCCCCTGCCCTCCCCTGCCCTCCCCTGCCCTCCCTGCTCTGTTTCCACACCTCCCAGTGCTGTAGAAGGGCTCGGGGTGGGCACCATCCACTTCCAGCTCTCAGAAGTCACTGTCAGTGAGTGTGCGTGTGTCGGGGGTGGGGGGAGTGGCATGGGGACAGGCAGGTGCCCAACACTAGGCCCCCAGGGCAACCCTGTGTGCACAGGAAGTGGGGGGGGGGCTTCAGGCTGGGGCAGCAAAATGGAAGGACAGTTTTACATATGAAACTTACACTTTCTGGAACACAAGAAAACTTCTCAGATATCATGAAAGGCACACCATCCATTGCTAAAAAAAAAAAAAAAAAAAAAAAAGCAGTGAAGACAGCAGTAGTCACTCAGAGACTTCAGACACCCCGCAACCCATGGAAGAACTGGCATGTGGCAGTGGGAGCTGTGGAAGGGACAGCAGGTGCACCCTGCTTCCAGGGACAGGAGGTAGATACCTCATCAGCCCCTGGACACCAGACAGATGTGCAGAAATGCAGAGAGCTGGCATGGACCCCCTGGAGCATGGTCTCCTAAGGGTCAGAGCCCCTTGGGCTGATGGCAGAGCTGGGAGGGCACAGAGCTGCCCACTGGGAGGATGGGAGCACAAAGTGTGCTCCTTACACATTCCTGGGCCCAAGCTGTTGGGGTCATGGAGTTGGGGTGGCTGTGATCTTGGCCCTGCAACCTGCGTTATACCTAAGAAAAGGATGACCCAGCCATGGGGGCTGTCTGCTGACATGAGGCTTGCCTGGCTGCAGGGTGTGGACACGGGAGGGGCAGGGAGGGTGCCCACTGTGCTGAGGACCCGCTGTGCTCTGCCCTGTCCTTGGTCTGTGCTCACAGAGGCACCCGGAGGAAACTGCTCCGAGCTGCATCTGCCTGTGTGTGCTTCCCGCAAAATTGAAACTGGCGGGTGGTGGTGGAAGTGTGTGTGTGTGGGACACGGCTGGAGGCCTCATCTCGTGGGGGCAACAGCTCACACCCAAACCACCTGCCATGGGCACCCCTGCACTGGGGCTGGACTGATTCAGCAGGGCAGGGCTCAGCAGTTGGGGGTGCGGGTAGTGTTAGGGTTTTAGGGAGAAGTGCCAGGAAACGATGGTCGCTGTTTCCCCGATGTCTGCTGGACTGGGCCCCTCTGGTGAGCGGGTGGTAGATGGGACTTTAAGTCCTGAGAGAGCAGGACAGGAAATCAGGAGTGAGACCTGGAGCAGGCATGTTCCACCTAAGCTCTGCTCGTCAACGTTTCAGAGGAGGAGAAATGAAGGCTCTCTGGCAAGTGTGAGGGGTGGTAGGCACTGCCACCCGCCCGTGGTCCACCAGCCACGCTCCCGGCCCTGGAAAGCCGCAGTCCACACCTGGCTGTCAGACTCTCACGGAGACTTCTTCCACTGCATCCTTTCCTGTCCACCTCAGCAGCTGCCCACGCCCTCCCTCTCAGACCTCCTGGGCTGGCAGGGAGCTAGACACATACCTATGGGGGGCCCCCAGGTGGGCCATTGGGAAAACCTTGCCAAGGCCCAATATAGGCAGACAGCAATGATCTCATGTGGAGAACACACCACAGGCAGCCTCTCTGGAGAGGAGGAGGGGACACAGGGCAGCGGCCACCAGCATGCTGGTGCTGTACACCCCCGCCTGGGCCAGTGCCAAGGAGATGAGGACAGCTTAGACAAACCCTCAAACCACACGAGGAAGATGTCCGGGAGATGAGAGAGCTCAGGAGAGCCATGTGGTCCTTCAGAAAAGATTGTAGCAGAAGGAGGACAGCCAAGCTGTGGGTGCCGGGGACCTGAGAGGCAGATTCTCCTGACCGGGAAGTGTCTGCCGACAGGTAGCCAGTCAGCCGGGCCACACAGACAGAGGTGACGGCACACCGGAGGACCCTGGACACGATTTCTCCTCTTGTGTGGAAAAGATGACTAAAGATGGCTGGACACTGTCAGATAAGTAGGATCTGTAGCTGGCTGGACCAGGCACAGGGGAAGGGCGTGGGTGCTACCAGTGGCCTAAAGATGCCCCCCGCCTGGCAGGATGGTCTCTAAGCTGGGCAGCAGAAGCAGGTCTAATGAAGCCCTCCGGAAGCTGGGATCGTGGCTATCTTAGTGGACGGGGTTTACCAAGCCCCCACGGGGACACCCGGAGCCCTGCTCTGTCAGAGGAAGTAGGATGATGGTGGGAGATGGGAAGAAGAGAGATGTGCTCTGGCTGCTGCTTCCTGCTGACTCCGGGCCACACTCTCACAGTGGCCTCTGGGGAGACCGGCTGGGGCCAGGGATGGGGCCATGTGAGAACGCAGCAGCCAGCAGGCCTGCATGCCCAGGGCCCAGCGCTGGGCCTGGCAGGTGGGCCGCACAGTGAGATTGGAGAGGCCTCGAGGGCGAACATGAGCAAATGTCTGTGCCATTTTCAAGTCCGCTACAGCTGACGCACGGCTCAGTGGGAGCTCCCGCCTCTGGAGGGGCAGGCTTCCCTTGGGACCTGCAAGGCCAGCTGGCGAGGGCATGGGCATCAGCTACACACTGGGGGCTCTGGGCAGGGGACTCATGGATGAGGCAGAAAGCTGGCCTAGGGGCCAGCTCGCCCTCCTCAGGATCTCACGGCACCCACTACTACTCTCCTTAGCCTGTCAGTCTTTCCATATTTAAAACTATCTCAAGGTTTGCAAGCATAATTCCAAAAACCAGTGACACACATCCTTCACACGTAACCCAAGAGTGCCCATAAATCATATCGGTGCTGCTTTCTCACGGGCAGCTGTGGTGGCCGCCTCCCTGCCCACCTTCCGCCTTCCCATCAGGAGCCAGTCCTCCATCTGAGCACTGAGTGGCTGGGCTCTTCCTGGCTACCCATCTGCTGCTGACCCTGTCCAGGGTGACCACTGTCACAGGAACTGGGCACACACGTTCACCCATGACATGCCCTCCCAGATCAACATGGGGGCTGGACCCCAGCCTGGTTCTTGCAGCTCTGGTGCAGCCAGCTCTAGTTCTTGGATCACGTGAGCCAAGGGGAACATTGCGTGGCCCTCTCCCTGGGACAGGCTCTCCCAGTCCTCTGGGAGGTTACAGAAATTCTTGCCTAGCCCAGTCCTACCAAGAAGCCAAATGGGAAGGAAGCCCGTTTCCCATCCCAACACCAAACTGAGTTTACATCAGAGGACTGCCAATGTTATCATCTGTAGGTCACATCCAAGGAAACCAAGACGTAGAGAAGGCAGGGAGCCTGGCATGGAGGGCAGCAGCAGGTGGATGTGTGGGCAGGTGCTGGCTACCCCACCTCTCCCAGCCTCAGCTTCTCTACCTGTGAAATGGGAACAATATGAAGCCCACTTAGAAGACTGTAAGAACAGACATGCAGACCTGGACCAGAGAGGTCCCCTTGAGGGAGGGCCGAGAAGTTCGGCCGCACAGGTTTCCCTTTGGTACCAGACCATTTTTCACCCCTTAATTTTTCATTTTTTGATGGCATTTTGAGTGAAACACGGGTCTGTAGCGTCGCAGCATCCGGTGGATACAAGCGAGGATGTGCCGCAGGCTCCGTGGCGCAATTAGCATTCTCCTAAACAAACGAGCTTCAACAGAGCTGTAATTAAGCAGGCCTGTAATTAAGTATATGCCCTTTATCATAACGATCATGCTTAGAAATGGCACGATGCACGGAACTCTGTTATTAATGCTGTGGTCCGCTCCTCAAGCGTGAGTGCATAGAGATCAGCATGTCAGGCCTGTCGCCGGAGTGTTTGTAAAATACGCGGAACAAAAAACCCAGAAAACAATGAGCCTATTCAACTGTTCTTTCACAGTCAGACACCGTGAGTCAAGGGGACTGTGAATGCTTCCAGATCCTGCAAGGTTTAAACAAACACAGCTCTCACTGCTACTGGACAAACCCCATCTCCTAGTTTAAAGGAAAAAAAGGTGGCTACCTTTTTTTTTTTCCAGCCAGCTGACCGGAAGCAGCCCGATTTGCACGCTGTATTTGCTTGGACATAAAATTGGATCCTGCTTGCACAGACAACACTACCCTGAACCTGCAGGAACTCGGTCTGGCAGCGGAGGGGCCTGCAGTATCTGTTCCTTGGCTCAGATGGACACTCTAACTTCATGGCCATGGCAATCCCCCACACTGCCCCCTTGACCACCCCCTGCAAACCACCTTGAGTGGACTCAACACCCATCACTAACCAATTCCCAAGAGTGCTGGGCCTGAGCCCACCCTTCAGCCACGGACAGCCCGGTGTTGCTCAGGGTATCTGGCCCCTTCCCTTCCTGACAGCTCACAGAACAGCAAGGGTGAAAGGATATGCCAATCAATGTGTGGATTTAATTCAACACGCTTGAAGGAAAGAGTCGGGAATGCACGTGCTCAAGAACATCACAGCTTCTAAGAAGCCCTGTGGCTGGCACTGGGCTTGCCCTCTGCTTCTAGCTGTCAAGCGATGTTATGTGAAGGTGAGTAACGGTACCCCAAAGCACCTGCAGATCCTGGCAGGTAGTCACTTTCAGAATGAAACGACACCCAGACAGGTTGGGGCGGGGGCACTGGCTCTGTGCTCTTGCTTGGGGCTTGGAGCTGTAAGCAGAAGCCCTGCCCCTTCCTGCCCACTCCCTAAGGTATTTGAAAGCCTCCCTGAAACAAATGCCAACCACTCAGGGTCTCAAGATGCATCTGTAAACCATGCCTCAGAGCCTGCCGTGCCTTCTTGGGGAATACGCTCTGGGACACTGCTCAGGAGACACTTGGGGCTGCCCCAGGGCTGCATGCGTGGCAGTGTTCCAACTGGGTTTAAACAAGGCCAATACTTTCTTCTAGATTCCCAGAGTAATGTGTTTTGCCATCTGACCCAGGAACCCGAAGCAGGGCTTTATCAGCCATAGCCGGAGCCCCGAGAACTGCGCACGTGGCCTCGTGATGGGGAAGGCACTTGCTTGGCTCAGGTGCCAGCGTCAGATGCCACCATGTGGCTCTGGGCAAGTCACTTAGCCTCCCACTCAGATCCCCAGCAGTCTGCAGAGGAGATGCAGGTCCTGCAGTACACAAGTGAACAGAACCAAAAGGCAGAGGTGGAAGGGCTGAGCGCAGGCGAGCCTACGGTCCCTCAAGAGAGGATCTGAAGAATGTATTTTACCTTTTTATTTGAAAGGCAGAGGCAGAGAGGAAGGGCGGAGAGAGACAGGCATGGAGGAAGGGAAGGAGATACCTTCCATGTGCAGTTCCCATCCCCAGATGGCCGCACATCCACGGCTGGGCCAGGCTGAAGCCAGGAGCCCTGCCATCCCATGGGCCAGGCTGAAG